GAATTCACTTTTTCAGTCAGGAATGTACGGGGTATCAGACTCCATATCTTAATTCGTATATACCAACCACCAACTCCAGAACAAAACTAAATACTCTGGAATTGGAATATTGTATTCTGGAATACTTTGGATGACCCAACGATGTTACGTGCTCAAGAATAGGATATTCTAGAGAAAATGCTCAATTCTGTGGTTTTTTTTTATTAACATACTCATTTATAATTTTAGTTTGCTCAATTCCCCTAAAATAAATTTAAGATTAAAACTTTTTTGTTCAAAAATAAAAATTTTAGGTTCGTGTTTCCAAAACAAAACCATTTCTTTAATTTATTAAATATTGTAAGTTAGAATTACTTATGCCATTGTAACAAAAGAGATTAAGACATTAATTCAAATCTATAAGATTAGATGTTTGTACTAAAAGTTGAGCGTATATTAAATATTTAACAAATTATCATCGTTTTCAACATAAAACTACATGTTATATAGAAAACAAAAACAAAATATCATATTACAAAACCAATAATAATAATCATTATTTTTCAGCAAAATAATAGCTTCAAATTTTTGTTAAAAAAATGTCCCAATTAACATTTAATCTTTAAAAAAAATGCAAATTATGAACATTTTTCCAACCTCATACTGGATTAAACCTAATTTTTTTGAGTAACTATTTATCTTAAGCCTTATTCAAAGGCTACATTTAATATTATATCAGCTTACTTTCATTTATTTGTATACAATAAATAAAAAATCAATGAAAGTAATTGCTATTTCTTAGCGTTAACCCTATATAAAACTTAAGATTTAATTAACGACCATAGTATATATAAATAAAAACAAATCACAAAAGTAGTTAACAAAAGAAAAAAGAAAAAAAGAAATAACTCAACGTACTTTACTGAATAATAAGAAACATAACAAATCTTGTAGAAAATCCAATATTACAACCCTCCTAGAATAACATCATACGTTTGGTTTCTCTTTAACGAAATCTAAAGGGAAAATATTCATAAAACTAAACTTTTTAACGAAACACAAAAACACCAAGAATATAAAATACCTAAAGATTCATAAAAGAAGCCTCAAGTTTACAAATTTCTTTTTAAAAAAAATGATTCATGATTTTATCAATGTTTCTTATTAGGTTCAAACACGTACTTGATCAACGACTCCTTAATCGACATCAACTCGGGAAACTCCTTCTTCAATTTGGAAGCATCCAATTCGTTATTGCTACGTGGGGCCACAATGACAAGAGCTTGTTCTTGAAGTGTGAAATTTTGCCATTTGAATTTGGGATTTATGTAATTTTGATACATTTGGAGGATTTGATTGTGGGTTATGACACCGGGGTTTGTGAAGTTCCAGATTCCTTTGAGGTTTCTTTTGGCCATTTCTATTGAGATTGGGAGGAGTTCATCAAGGATTGTCATGCTGTTGGGGATGTTGACTACTTTGTTGTAACGAGAGATTTTGGTGATGAAGTTTCGCGGGTTGTTGAGGTCTGAGGAAATTGGCATTCGGACTCGGAGTGTGCATACGTTGTCGTATTCTTTTAAAAGCTCTTCAACCTGGAATGGAATTGAAAATTGTCGGAATGGAATCGGTCATTGCATTTCGGAATCCAATTTTATATGCTTCTTCTTCTTTTGTATGTTATGTGTTAATACAATGTGTGGGGTTTTGAACAGAAAAGTCCCGATTATGTTATTTTCCCAAAATAACGAGACTTTTCTGTTCAAAAAGAAAACATTTAGGACTTTATCGAAAAATTTCCAAAAATAATGAGACTTTTCTTAATCCATATAATGTGTATTTTACACTTTTGATTATAGTTAATGGAATTTTGTTTATAAGAAATTACGGATGATGAAATGAAATTGTAATAAAAAATATATATTTATTAGTTATTTTAAAAGTATAATTTAATTAAAATGATGAATATTTTTCAAAGGAATTGTCTGTGATATTTTTATGGCATACAAGAAACTACCTTTTATAGCAGTAGAAGATTTTTTTTTTTTACAAAAAAAGTTAAAGATAATGAAAGTTCACTAAAACCTAAAGAATTTATGATAAGAAAATATGTTTTTTACTTATTTTACAAGAATAAATTGTCATTTAATTAAAATAATGATTTTTTTTTCTTTGCAAAAAAAGTTGTCATTAAAGATTACAAAAAAAAAGGGTTATATCTCAATTTCTCATTTCATTCCATGAAGGAATGAAAAAAAAAAGCATACCGACTTAGGAATGAAGGTACCAAAATGGAAGGAGTTGGAATCGGAATCGGAATGGCCCATTCCATTCCATGGTATCAAACACTACCATATACGTTTTTAGCAATTAGAAAAAACAAAAAGAAAAGGAATAGTGATTAGTACTTACCATAGCTTTAGTCTTGGAATAAAAGGAGCCAATGAAATTTGGTTTATCTTCTTCCTTAAAACCAATTCCAGAACCTTCCGGATGAGTAGAATCATACTCAAAAATACATCCAGTAGCAAAATTAATCATCAACAAACCATGTTCTCTACAAACATCAGCCAGATTAAGAGTCCCTGAAACATTTGTGCTAATTGTCTCTGTTTTGTGAGATTCACACCAGTCAACATTCGGTCTTCCAGTAACACCAGCAGCATTGAAAACATGAGTAGGTTTAACACTTTGAATATCTGCCAAAAGCTGTGATCGATCCTGCAAACGCCCTTTTCCATATTCATATTGAATCCCTTGTTTTTGACAGATTTTTCCAAGTAATCCACCAA